TATATAGTTCTGACTTTTCTCAGAAACTGATTCTAAATCTATTACTGATAAATTATCAGGTATTAAATTAGTTAATATTGAAGATCCAAACGTTTATGGGAAATATTCAGATGGATCTGTAAGAGTTATTAAACCAGATATTAATCCAGTGTATGAGAGTGATGATAGTGATGTTGAAACTAAAAATACTATTGGTAACATACCATTATCTGCCTATGATGAAATGCCACACATTGGTTATGATATTAATGGTAAAAGAATTATGAGACCAGCTAAGGGCTCTGCCTTGGATCAATTGTTGGATACAATCGAATTACCTGAAGGTTGGACTGGTTTATTAGATCAAAATTCTGGTGCAAGCTTGAATTTGACTGAAGAAGAATTGGAATTGATCTCTAAAATTCAGAAGAATGAAACTACTGATGAAAGTACAAACCCATATGAACCATTAATAGATTGGTTTACAAGACATGAAGAAATCATGCCTTTAACAGCTGCTCCAGAGCCTAAAAGAAGATTTGTTCCTTCAAAACATGAAGCTCAAAGGGTTATGAAAATTGTTAGAGCCATTAGAGAAGGTCGTATTGTACCACCAAAGAAGTTAAAGGAAATAAGAGAAAAGGAAGAGGCTGAAAACTTTAGTTATGATTTATGGGGTGATGCAGAGGAATCTGAGGATCATGTCATGACTTTAAGAGCTCCAAAATTACCTCCTCCAACTAATGATGAAAGTTATAATCCTCCAGAAGAATACTTATTATCAAAGGAAGAAAGAGAGGAATGGGAAACCATGGAGCCAAGTGAAAGAGAAAAAAATTATTTACCTCAGAAATTTGCAGCTTTAAGAAAAGTCCCAGGTTATTCAGAATCTATTCGTGAAAGATTCGAAAGATCATTAGATTTGTATTTAGCTCCTCGTGTTCGCAAAAATAAATTAAACATTGACCCAGAATCTCTAATTCCAGAATTGCCATCTCCAAAGGATTTGAGACCGTTCCCAATTCGTTGTTCTACTGTTTACTCAGGCCATACAGGAAGAATCCGTACGCTATCTATTGATCCTTCTGGTCTATGGTTGGCCACAGGTTCTGACGATGGTACCGTCAGAGTTTGGGAAATTTTGACAGGTAGAGAAGTTTATAAGGTTACTTTGATTGATAAGGCAGAAAATACTGATGATAATATTGAAAGTATTGAATGGAATCCAGATAAAACAACTGGTATTTTGGCAGTGGCAGCTGGTGATTATATCTACCTGATTGTTCCACCAATATTTGGCTTTGAAATTGAAAATGCTGGTAAGACTAATATAGAAAACGGTTTTGGTTTCGATACTTTTGGTAACGTTAAAACTTCCAACTTAGATGTTGAAGGTAGCGATAATGAAGATGCAGACACTAATGGTGCGGTTAAGAAGACAGTAGCGCAATGGAATAAGCCATCTCAAAAACAATTGGAAAAAGATATTAGTATTGTAATCACTTGTAGAAAAACTGTCAAGAAAATTTCATGGCATCGTAAAGGTGACTATTTCGTTACTGTTCAACCTGATTCTGGACACACTTCCGTATTAATCCATCAGTTATCAAAACATTTAACTCAATCACCATTCAAGAAATCTAAAGGTATCATTGTTGATGCTAAATTCCATCCATTTAAACCACAACTTTTCGTCTGTTCTCAAAGATATGTTAGAATATATGACCTATCACAACAAGTTTTAGTAAAGAAACTATTACCAGGTGCTCGTTGGTTATCAAATATTGATATCCATCCAAGAGGTGATAATTTAATTGCTTCATCTTACGATAAGAGAGTATTATGGCATGATTTGGACTTATCCAATACTCCATACAAAACATTGAGATACCATGAAAAAGCCGTTAGATCAGTCTCCTTCCATAAGAGACTTCCATTGTTTAACTCTGCTGCAGATGATGGTACCATTCATATCTTCCATGCTACAGTATACGATGATATGATGAAGAATCCATTGATTGTTCCATTGAAAAAATTAACTGGTCATAAAATTACCAATAATTTAGGTGTTCTAAATACTATCTGGCATCCAAAAGAAGCATGGCTTTTCTCTGCAGGTGCTGATCATACAGCTCGTCTATGGACTACATAATCATTTTTTCTCAGTCGTTTTACGCTGTGTGTGTATCTGTATGTTTTTCTAGCCCAGATGACCACTTGTTCAAAACCTGCATCAGAATTTTATAAGACTAAAAAACAATTACTTTACATATGTATTATTAATCACTAAGGATAGAATAATTTTACATGCCAATCCATGTACAATAAAGGTATAATTTATTTAATTCATATATCTTAATAATTATTATTAAAAAATCTACAATTATATTTGATAATTTTTTATAGTTTAGTTCTATTTCTTGATAATAATTTATATAGGTTCTTATTTCAAAAGTTTTTTCTAGAATTTCATCCAAATCATTAAATTGAAATACAAAGAAGAAAATTCGTTGTAGTTCAACATACACCAATCAAACTAATAGAGTACAAAGGAATTTCATTTCTATTACTTTGTAGAGCTCAAATAATTGGAATAACCTCAATGAATTCTTTTTCCTTTCAAATTGACCTGTTGGAATATATATAGAAATTATTTGACTTATTAAAATATATATAGAAATTATTCGACTTATTAAAATAATTGTAATTGGTTACATGAAATAATTGATGATTATGTGATGATTACTATATTTCAAAATGATAACTACAATTAGTGTAAGTTAGCCAATGATTTAAAGCATAAAATCTATCACCTGAATTCAGTTTTTGACACTGTTTTAAGAGGAGAAGTTGGGGAAAATCTAGACAAATTAATAGCGACAAATAATATAATAACCAATGTTAAGGATAAATAATTTATAAAACTTATAGAAAGATACTCCAGCTTCAAATCAGACACAACATAGCTATCATTATTCATCATCTTGCATTGCTGTCGCTGACCGTGCTGATGTTAAAACCAAATTACCCGGAAATTCAATATTTTTCGAAATTCGAACGACAACAAAATATTTTTCAACATAAAGAGAAGATGGGTACTAACAAATTTAATATAATTGAATATATTATATAAAATGAATAGGAATAGGAAGGAGTTAAAGTTTTGTGTAAAGGATAAGACATAGAACGTCAATATTGACTCAATATCAATGTTTGGAGCATCTAATAATACGTTTGGTGGTGGTGGAGCAAGACCTTTTGGTTCCAATGTTTCACAATTCGGGAAACCACAACAGGCTTCAACTGGATTTGGTATGAATCAAACTAATACTCAATCTACGTTTGGTGCGTTTGGTTCCAATACTGCTGCGGGACAATCCAACACTGGTGGAATGACTCCATCTTTTGGTTTAGGAAACACTTCAGGCACTATGAATTCTCCCTTCGGTCAGAATGTTAATCCCAGTAACCAAGGTGGTCTTTTTGGATCAAATTCTTTAACCTCCAGTGCGTCATCAAATGCAATGGGTGGTCAAGCAGGTACCTCTCTTAAGCCATTTACTGAATATCAAGAGAAAGATAATACTACAGGAACTATGAACCATTTTCAAAGTATTACTTGTATGCCAGAATATAGAAATTTTTCATTTGAAGAATTAAGGTTCCAAGATTATCAAGCGAACCGTAGATACCCAAATGCTCCAGGTACTGCTGGTTCACAATTTGGTGCAACAACTTCAGCTGGTGGATTTGGTAATATGTTAGGTTCAAATACAAATCAGCCTGTGAGTAGTGGTACTGGCGGCTTATTTGGACAAAACCCACTATCAAAACCTTCATTTGGTTCTGCTGCCTCAGCTAATACAAATGCTGGTTTTGGTTCTTCATTCGGAGGAAACGCTAGTGGTACAGCAAATGCATTTGGTGGATCCAATGCCCCAAAGTTAGGAATGGGCGGTACTACAGGTGGTGGTCTCTTTGGTCAAAGTCCAAACCAACAATCAGGAGGTTCATTTGGGCAGACTACTAATCAAGCATCAAGTTCATTTAATACAGGTAATGCCTTTGGTGCCAGTAATACTTCTGGAGGTGGTTTATTTGGCCAAAACAATCAACAACAAGGTGGAGGAGGTTTATTTGGACAAGCCCAAAACCAAGGTCAACAGCAAGGAGGATTATTTGGTCAAAATCCTCAACAACAACAAGGTGGCTTATTTGGACAAGCCCAAAACCAAGGTCAACAGCAAGGTGGATTATTTGGCAATAAACCTGCTTCAGGAGGTGGTCTATTCGGACAACAATCAAATACATTCAATCAAAACCAACAATCTGGAAGTCTGTATGGTCAAAATTCCCAACAACAACAAGGTGGGGGAGGTTTATTTGGACAAGCCCAAAACCAAGGTCAACAGCAAGGAGGATTATTTGGTCAAGGGAATCAACAACAACAAGGTGGGTTATTTGGACAAAACACTCAACAACAGGCGGGAGGTTTTGGTGCTAAGCCCGCTGGTGGTTTGTTTGGCCAAAATCAACAGACTACAAGCTTTGGTTCTGGATCAGGTACAGCACAAGGTGGTTTATTCGGTCAAAGCACCCAACAACAAGGTGGAGGAGGTTTATTTGGACAAGCCCAAAACCAAGGTCAACAGCAAGGAGGATTATTTGGTCAAGGGAATCAACAACAACAAGGTGGGTTATTTGGACAAAACACTCAACAACAGGCGGGAGGTTTTGGTGCTAAGCCCGCTGGTGGTTTGTTTGGCCAAAATCAACAGACTACAAGCTTTGGTTCTGGACCAGGTACAGCACAAGGTGGTTTATTCGGTCAAAGCACCCAACAACAAACTGGAGGAGGCCTGTTTGGTCAAGGTGTAAACCAAGGCCAACAACCACAACCACAACAACAAGCGGGTGGATTATTTGGACAAAGTACTCAACCACAAACAGGTGGATTGTTTGGAGCGAAACCTGCTGGATCAACGACTGGAGGATTATTTGGTGCTAATACGTCCACACAACAACCAGCTGCTACCCAAGGGAGTGGCCTATTCGGAGCCAAGCCAACAGGTACTGGACTATTCGGTGGCCAAACACAAGGATCAACTACATCAGGGGCTTCAGCCGGAGGCTTGTTTGGCAAAAGTGCCAATCCTGCTCCTGGTGGAGCTGGTTTATTTGGAAATACAGCTCAATCAAATTCAGTTTCTTCTAATACTGGTGGTTTATTTGGTTCAAAGCCAGCTGCAACTGGGGGATTATTCGGAGGCCAACCTTCGGCTCCTTTATCGACTTTCGGCCAAAATCCAGCGACAACCTCACTCCAAACACCTGGAACTGGAAGTCTATTTGGCGCTAAACCAGTTTCAACTATCGCACCAAATACAGCTTCACAGATGCAACAACAAACTGGTATTTCTACTACCAATCCATACGGAACTAATGAATTATTTACCAGAATTACTATTCCAGAATCTATTACAGCTCCTAGTCAACCTAGGTTCACGAAGGTTAATACCGACACTAAAGCAACATCTTTAAATACTGCATATAAATTGAATCCAAAACCTCTTTTCAGCAAGGGTTCTTTACCATCAGCTTCTATTGCTCATGCTACTCCTTCAATAGACAAAGCTCCTCAAAATACTGATAAATCAGATAATGAAACTACATTAGTAAAGTTTGGTTCTTCATTATTCAATCCGGAGACTGATGAAGCGTTGATCACTGCAGATGAGTTATTATTCAACCCCGACAGGAAATCATTTAAAACTCTATTGATAAACAAGAAAAAGGTTAATGAGGCACTATTGAATGAAAAGAGCACAAGTCCAGATAAAGATATAAAGAGAATTACTTTCAATGAAAAATCCTTACTCAAAGATGAAGATTCTGTAAGAAGTTCAATTTTTGACAATGTTCTAGAAACACCAACAAATACGGAAAATAAGCTTTCAGAAGCATCATCGGTTGATCATGATTTTAATGAAAGGCAAGAAGTAAGTAGACCAGATTTGAAAGGTGATCTAATGCCAAATGGCATCTCTAAATTACCAGGTGTCAAAGGATCAGATTTTACTCAAATGGAAAATGGCTATTACATTTCTCCCTCCCTAGATACATTAGCTAGCATGTCACTTTTCCAATTGTCATCGGTAACTAACTTTGTAGTTGGCCATAAGGATCATGGATACATCGAATTCATGGAACCTGTCAACTTAACTGATATTCCACTTACTTTAATTTGTGGTGGCATTATAGAATTTAGACCTCGAGCATGTATAGTGAAGTCTGGTAATGAGGCTGGTTTCCATGGCAAGGGGTTCAACGTGCGTGCAAGAATTGTATGCTATAAATGTTTCCCATTAGACAAGTCAACAAGAAAACCAGTTACCAATCCGGATCATGCCCTTGTGAAGAACCACATCAAGAAATTTAAATCCATGCCAAACTGTAAATTTGAAAGTTATGATCCAAAGACAGGTACTTATGTGTTTGCTGTTGACAACGCATGCTCTTAGAGAAAACAGTGCTTGAATACAGCGAGTACCAATTTATCTTTTTGAAACTATGGTTTCTCATGCATATTAATTAATACGTACTGTATAGCATCATGTATAATTAAGAAGAAAATAATATTAAACAAAGTTAAATTAATCCAGAAAATATAATTTTTGCTTTATTGTAATAACCTTGATGTTGTGACTTGACAGTTTTACAATTCTGTTTAGATTAAAATCAAATAAAAAAAATAAATGCCATCTCCTAGAATCGAACCAGGGTTTCATCGGCCACAACGATGTGTACTAACCACTATACTAAGATGGCGCTTAATTTGTTGATTCTGTTGAAAAACCAATCTGATCATACTAAACGAAAAAGCAAATCAAACGAGCAAGAATATCGTATACAATGGGATGTTTGAACTTAGGGATAGGTTCTATACTCTAACAAAGTCAAGTTGATTAAGCTAAATAAGGTATCTTAGAAGTATATGGAGGTAAAATCGGGGAAATAGCAATTGGTTTTAATGGCAATCTGTTAGAAGTTGTATCTAACTTGTTACAAAAAGGGAGAGATTCAGCTTATTCAAATTTTCAGCCGTTTTATATTTATTTGCTGATTTACGGTGGGTAAATATAAATGTGTCAAACATTAAGTTTGGGACTATGAATACATTACTACTTAAGGTGATTCGGTCCTTATTTGGATCACATCAAAAAGTCAGAAGGCAACATTTCTTGTTATAAACTTCATTCTTATAAAGTCTACCTGGAAAAATTATGATTCAGATTCAAAGGGATGATCTGTTCAGGAGTACTATTCAATGATGGGTGGGATAGATACTAAGAGATTCTTTCCTCTTGGGCAGGGATTGTCAGAATTGTTGACTCCAATTTCAAATACCTCAAGAGAATCCAAAATCATGTCATGTCGAGTTTGTCCCCCCCAAAGTGGAGCATGATTCAGTTAGGCATTGATTGAAATTTGCAGATATAAACGAAACGCTCCACAATTTATGTATGATTACATGAATGAAGAGTATTTGTCAGACAATATCTTGGAAAAAAAGTTTTTAGAAACTATAAACTAATATACAAGTATACTAAACCTTAAAGTTTTTAATAGTTGACAAGCTGAGGCAAAGGTGAAATCAAAAAAAAGTATACTAACATAAATAAGTACATAAAGTTGAAAGGTCTACTAATATTGCCCCTGTTGAGTTTCTTGGAAGTATTGCTGATAAACAGCATTTTGATCTTGATTTAAAAATGATTGTGATGGGTTTTGATAATTTTGAGGGTTCGGATGTTGTAATGATATACCTTGATGCTGAGCTATATTTTGATTCGGTATACTATTCATTGCAGCTTGATTAATACCAGCTTGCGGTATTAGATTGTTATTTGTCATTACATGATGTTTTAAATCCTGCTTCATATCCTGTTGGCTATCGCCTAGGACTCCATTGCTTTGTTGTCCTTGTTGTACTTGTTGTTGTCCCTGTTGTCCCTGCTGTTGCACCTGCTGTTGCTGCTGTTGTTGCTGCTGTTGTTGTCCCTGTTGCGGTTGTTGTTGATCATCGTTCTCCTCTTCCTCTTCTTCATCTGGAGCGTTCAAACAAGCTTGAATCAAATTTCTACCTTCCTGTTGAGTTACGATAGGTTCAAATTTAGGAGTACTAAAAGTATAAACCAACCCTGTTTCCGAGACAACTAACAACAAAACTTGAGTACCAGTAAGAACAGACAACTCAAAAGCTTTCTTCATAATCCCATGTTTCCTCTTAGAAAAAGTGACATGACGTCTTGTCTTATTTTCTATAAACTTAATCTCAATCTTTCTTCTCTCCTTCTGTTGAACACCGGAACCATTTCCTGTAGAATCATCGATATCGTCCACGTCAGACATTGCAAAATTTAACCTATGTATACGCTATTACTGTGATCCTAAGCGAATATGACCTTTCTCTAGGATAGACCTTTAATTTATCACTTCTATATTAACTTCGAATTGAAATATAATTGGGTTGATTGATTCGAAGAAAAATTTCAGATGGAAAAAAATATATAGAAATACAAATGTTTCACTAGTAACACAAACTATACCTTTTCTCTAAACTGAATAACCTAATTTAATCAGTTTCCCACACCTAAAAAAACATAAAATAAAAATATAAATATCTATTATTAACTGCTACCAACTAATCTTTGATAACATTAAACATCCAAAATTTCAACCTATTATTTATAAATTCCAATTACGTTCTTCTTTAATAATCAATCAAATCGACCTTTTTGATAAACTCGATATTTCATCAATTTTCCCCTGGGAGAAATGTTCGTTTAGAGTGATTTGGGGTGTTTTCCTGCAATCCACATTGGTCATGTGACTTTATCGAAAGATTGAGGTCACGTGGTTTAGGGTCGTCTCTTTCCAATAAGTAAGTGTAAGAGCAACTGTAAGTGTAAAGCCCAATGGTTAGATATTTTGGCATTGAACAATGTCAGTCTTTGGGTTAACAGGATGGAATGATTCTTAAATAATCCAAAAAAGGTTTTAAGTGATCCAAATGTTTTTGGAGTCGAGTTGGCATGGCATGAAGAGACAGACAGACGGGAGAACACAATGGTGCCAGAGACAAGATTTTTTATGCAAATGGAGAAAGACTGACGAACCTCAAAACTATGGTTTGATTAATGACAGGGTTTGGTTTGTCTAATATTTACCAAAGGTTAGAGTGTGGGGAAGTATATTTAGTTCTACTCCTTTCCCTTTGTTCGAAAAATTTAAGAGATGCTTTTTAGGGGAGACCATCCACATATATATATCCCCAAGAAATAAGGTAACTTACTGTCATCGTCACCACTAAGCACCATAGCTCATCAACCAAATAGATGGAAACTGTCTCTTGTATTTACATCGAATGGAAATAAAAATAAATTTATATATAAATATGAGGGTTGATTCATAGTTTAGTTAGATATTATATAAATTATTTGTTATTTTTGTAATTATTAATACCTCTTAGCTGCCGTCACTATCCCTTTGGATGTTCAACGATATTACCCACTGACAGGCAGTTATACAAACATACAGACACATTTAATATACTCTAGTGACAATGGTAGTTATGGATCAAATGCTTTCGAAAATTATGACACAAGGTAGAATGATCTATCGAAAGGTAGAACGTACCGATTCATTTGTATTGGCTGGTTATACAGGTGTGGCATTGATTGCATGCACAGGTATAGTTGCCTATTTTACAAGAGACTCAGAAATTAAAAGAATATATCATTACGATAGAAATGTAGCCAAACGTGGGATCCGTCATTCTTAAAAAGACACCACTCCCACTATATTTAGTTATTTACTCACTTATGTATTTTGGTATATGTATATTGCTACACATAGATATGTAGAGGAAAACCAGAAAGAATCAGAGGTATTTTTTAATAAATGTCAAATTCTTTAATTTAATTATCCTTTTTATCTAGTTCAGAGACAGGCTCATTTTTTGCATCATTAGTTTGATCAAACTGTTTCTCTAAATTAGCAATTTGTGATTTTAGACCTTCTAGAGAGGTCTTTTTTGATTTTAATTCTTGCAATAATCTGTCGTCATCAATATTTTTGTCAGATTCATTTATCAAACTTTGGTATTTAACCAGTCTTCTTACAATGCTCATCACTGTAATGATGCATAAAACAAAATATAAGATGAAACCAGATATATACACATTACGTTGGTTATAAGCTCTTGAAGTCAATACTTGTACGGGTGTGATTAGTGAGCCTGCATCGTTTGTCATTTCGTTAGAGTTTTGATCATGATAGGTTGAAACATGGACATTTGCACGTTTCCAGGAATCAGCAAATAGCATTCCTACCAAGACGCCTAAGATGGCACCGACGGTTCTGAATTGTTGGTTGTAGTACAGTCTGTCATATACAGTACACATCGATTTCCTCAATCTAAAGGGTAAAGGTAGTACTAAAAAGAATAAAGTACCCATCTCCAGGGTTAAAGCAACAAATAGTAAAGTAAAATATATACTCATAATTAGGGTGTTACAGTGTTGTACAGATAGTGTGAAGCCAATGAAAAATGAACAATGAAGAAACTAGTGAAGAGTATAACTCCAGTCCAATATATAATATGTATATAATATATAATTTGTACAAGTATATCGATCGATCTATTACATTCTTGTTCTTATATAGCTAAAATTTCAATTCATTTCGAAAGATCAAAACGAATCGGCTGATGTAAATGTGAATGTACCTTAAAGAGTAGAGAGAGCCATTTTAACTACGCCTTAAATTTTATTCATTGCAAGGAAGATGAAAAAAACCCAAGTAATAGGTATAGAAGACAGGTTTACAAACAAGATTATTATTGTAGTAGTTGTAATAGAGTTGATGAACGGGGGGGGGTTGGACTACAGCTGGAATAGTTCTATGTTCCTTTGGTATTAGATATGGAGGCTGCGTAAATATATATGTATATATATATATCCATATAAAATATGGTAGCGCCGACACACAAACCTCTTCGCTCCCAGTGTATTCAGGGTTACCCTGAGTCTGGATCAAAAAATTTCGTTCAAATTTGCCAAAATCAAAGAAAAATTGCAACGAGAAGACCAACAACAGCCAGCAACTCAACCGAGAGGAACTAAAGACAGACAGAGATAGAGCGATGAAGTGATATTTACATGGCAAGCAAAAGTGTTCTTATAGTTTATTTGATGTTGAAAGTTTGATATTTGATATTCGATATTCGAAATTTGAAGTTCGACGTTTTATATTTGATTAGTTGTAGAGACTTATTGGGTTTTATTACTATCTTGTCTTGTCTTGTCTTGTTTCGTTTTTGTTCAGCGTTATTCGAAAAGTTATATAGTACAAGTTTACAGCTGTGTGCGATATCTGAACGTTTGAAGACTAGACAAGAAATTGACTGGGTTAAACGATTTCGAAGTTCGAAACTGGTTAAGGATTATAAAAGTTCTTTTGTTAGAGATCTTTTGTGAGATTGAAAAGACAAGATTAGGTATCGCTGTGGGTTAATTGCAGTCTATATATATATATATCTGTCTGTGTGCGTGTGCGTGTGCGTTAGTGGAAGAAAGTGTCTATTGCTTAGGAACCTTCAAGGCTATCGTCAAAACTCAGGTAAGTTATATTACTTGGGAATATAAAAAGCAGAGAAAAGGCAAGGAATAAAATAAAAATTTTTTTTTTCATCTTTTGCTGGTATCTGTTGCTAATCTAGTTTATATAAAGCTTATTTTTTTTTATTCACTACTCCCCCCACCCCCCAATCTCTCTCCTCCCATACAATTTTTCATTGTTTAAAATGTCTTATTACAATAGATACAGAAATAGAAGAAGACCTGATTCAGCTGGTGGTGCCGGTAATGGTGCCGGAAATGCTGGTCCAGGTAATGCTGGAAACCCAATGCAAGCAGGGTTAGGAACTCCTGATGCCATCTTCGATATCGGTAAGAACAAAAGAGTCACGGTCAGACAGTTTAGAAATGTCAATTTAATAGATATCAGAGAATACTATTTAGATAACTCGACTGGTGAAATGAGACCTGGTAAAAAGGGTATCTCTTTGACTGAAGATCTGTACGATGAATTCTTGAAGCATAGATTGAATATCGATGAGGCATTGAGAAGACTAGGTTCAAAAAGACCAAGAACTAAAACCGTCCTATTGGAATCCGACGATGAAGATGAAGTTAATACCGAGACTTCGAAAGACAAGGATAAAGAAAATGGCAATGATGCTTCAGAACACAAAGAGAAGAAGAGAAAATTGAAAGGTGACAAGAAGCAACCTGCGGAACCTTCAAGATTGATCACTGAAGAAAAGAAACATATGGATGAGCGTGAAGCTAATGCAACTTTGGTTGTTCCAGGTTTGAATAAAAAGCAAGATTCGACCCCAGAAGCTGCTACTCCTCCTCCTCAACAACCATCTACATCTCCAGCCACTGATTCTGCTGTTGTTGTTACTGCTTCTGCTGATTCTGCTGCTGCTGCTACACCTGATCCGGAACCAGTATCTGTACCAGAACAAATACCCGATGAGACTGCAGTCAAGGTCAAGCACGAAACCACAGAAGCTGTTCAAATTGAACCTCAAGAGGACAATTCAAGTGATGAAGAATTCGCAAAACATTTGGACGATGAGATGAATAAAGCTGATGATGATGTCAGTGAAGAAGAATAAGGTTTTTCTTCTCCAGTTTCAAGAAAGAAAGAAAGAAAGTTAAATCAATTAGAAAGCGAAAAAAAAATAAAAAGAGAGAAACGGGTTTACTACTTGCAATTATTATCATTTAATAATAAACCACTCTTTTATTAATTTCACTCATTTCTGTAGTTTTATTTTCTTTTCAGCACCTCTGTCGTTACAATTTTACTTTAGTACACTGTCGTTAGAGTTCAATCTCCCTTACCTTCCACAATTAACATAAGTCTATCGTGGTATACGTATAATTGTATCACCAATATGTACCATAGCATTTAGATATATACTATATCATATATTAGTAATCAAACTATCAACTTTTAACTAATGTATTGTAAAAGGACCTTGGTATCTCATTGATCACGTGCTAACCATACTAGTCAATTTTTAAAATCATCCCATCATCGATCGAAATGACAAAAAGTATCATGATTTAAATAAAACCGAAAGGTTAGTTAAGTTTAGTTGAATTATAAAAGAGATATCAATAAAGATTTCAATGGTAACTAATTTCTATTGATTCAATAAAGGTATCGATATATTTTTATTGTTTTTGTTAAATTCTACAATTTGTTGTTTATGCTTTATATCTCAACTCAACGTATTACTCCAGGTGATTTGATGATCCGTAGCTAGTGAAAGGAGAGAACATTTTAAATTATCGAAGAGATTTTAAAGAAGGGAAGTAGTAGGTATAGGTGTATTGATATACTTGCATTCAGATAGTTAAGAAATTTCAGTTTTTTTTATTGTTTTTCCTTAATTATTATTTTATATATTCAAAATTTAAGGTTTTATTCAATTCAAAGCATATAGGCTACTTTAAAATCAATATTACTAAATATTAATATAGGGGAAAGATTTCCAATATTTATTATTTAAAATTGATAATATGAGTGAATTTCACGAAGACCGTCCATTATTAACCTCTTCTGATAGTGATAATATATCTATTGATTCTGAGAATGATATTATTGAAGATCATCATATTGCCAATAATCCTCATATTTCACCAATAAATGACTTTGATCAAGCCGATTCTTGGGGGATGTTGCACGAGGTTAACGATTCTCCAAGCAATAAGATGTCAATAGATAAACATGATGTTTTAGTTGATCATAGACCAACTTTGAATAATATGTTATTAAATAAATCTAATAGTGCATCGGCAGGTAGACCAAGACCAAGAGCTAATTCAAATTCCATCCCATATAGAAAAAAAGTTAGTAGTAATAGCACAGAAAAGAGCTATCATGCAAAAGATTTTTATGATAAAACTCGTTCGTCAAATTTCTCATCTTCTCAGTTAGATCAAACCCAGTCAAATATGGAACATATGCATAAGGTCAACGAAGAACGTATAAGAAGAAGAAAAACGATCGCAAATGGAGACGTAGTTATAGATGTAGATGCATTAATGAAAAGTGTTCATAAAGATAATGAAAGCTTAAAGAATGGTCTGGGATTATCAAGGCATTCGACTTCACTTGCTCATAGCAATGCAACATCTAATGAGGAAGAATTAAATTCAAGACCTTCATCAAGAAGATCATCAAATGACTCTAGTTTGGATGATGTTTGTCTATTTCTAGATGACGTAAATTCTTTGAGTCAAAAAGTATGGCCTGATGTAGAAGTTTTAGAAGAGTTCTCAAAGGAAGAAACTGAGAAGTTGAGAAGACAAGCAATCGAAGATGCCGAAGAATTCCATTTTAACTACGATGAAGAGGATGAAGGTGATGAAGATTCTGCCAGTGAAGGGATATTTTTTTCGAAACCAATTGTTACAAGTATTGATGTACCGGAATTGGGAAATAGGAAAGTAAATGAAGCTGAGGATTTGAAAGAAGGAAGGCTAAGACCTAAGAGAATTACTCCATGGCATTTAAGAAAAGCTGCATTGCAAAACCAAACAAGAAAATCAAGTCTGAGAGATGAGGGCCCTTCCAATGGTAGAAATGAGGTGCGTGATAACTTTTTAGTAGGTCGTAACATTCAATATCCTCCACACATTATATCAAGCAATCCAGAACATTTTAGATTCACCTATTTTCGTGTCGATTTAGAGTCTACGGTGCACTCACCTACGATTTCAGGTCTTCTACAAACTGGTCAAAAATTCGAAGATTTGTTCGTAAGCTCAGTTTATTCCAATGAGAACAATAGGGCAGATGGTAGTTCATTAACGCCAATTGGAAGCAAATCGATGCTATCCACACAAAGTCAAAATCAATTACACAATCAAGCAGGAAACAATAATATCTCTCAGTCACAAATGTACAAAACTAATTCAAGAATATCAAACCCTATTGCCGAATATGCCGATGTTTCTCCATTTTGGCTTGATGTTTTAAACCCAACGGAAGAGGAGATGAAAGTTTTAAGTAAGGCATTTGGTATCCATCCATTGACAACTGAAGATATTTTCTTGGGAGAAGCTCGTGAAAAAGTGGAATTATTCAAAGATTATTATTTGGTTTGTTTTAGAAGTTTTGATATTGTCGCAGAGAGAACCACTCGTCGCAAAAAGGAAAAATCCCAAGAGTTATCAACTTCAACAATATTAGAGAATGAAAATTTATACAAAACGTCTACCAGAGAGAAATCTGGTATACTAGATAAAATCATACCATCATTTTTACGTAAGCGCCGCAGGTCTTCAGCGTATAAAACAATAGCTTCAAGCTCTGATGCATCAAGTTATAGACGTCGTAAAAGTGAAAGAGAAAAGGAAGAAAAGGAAAGATATAAGAGAAAATCTGGTGATAGACATAAACCTCGTGAAGGTGAATTGGAGCCATTGAATGTTTATATTATTGTTTTTAGAACCGGTGTTTTGACATTTCACTTTGCACCTACACCTCATCCAATTAATGTTCGTAGAAGAGCCAGAATTTTAAAGGATTATCTTAACGTTACTTCGGACTGGCTTGCATACGCTTTGATTGATGATATCACTGATGCCTTTGCACCAATGATTGAATTAATAGAAGATGAAGTATACGATATTGAAGATGCTATATTGAAAATGCATCATAGTGATGATTCTAGCGACAGTGACTCCAGCGACAGTGATTCTAGTGATTCTGAGAATGATTTCATCGAACCGCTATTAGATAGAAGAAATAGATATGGAGATTACGAATCAATTATCAATAACAAACAAAATAGATTGGCATTAATGAGAAGGAAGAGCACATTTAGTAAGTATAGTTCCAGTAGCAGTTCTATTTCAAGTAGATCGAATTCCACAGGTTATACATCACTAAATGCAAATATTATAGGTTGGAAAAAGAAGGGTGATATGTTACGAAGAATAGGTGAATGTAGAAAAAGAGTTATGAGTATTTTGAGATTACTAGGGTCAAAAGCAGATGTTATTAAAGGTTTCTCCAAAAGATGCAACGAACAATGGGAAGTTGCACCAAGATCAGAAATTGGAATGTTTCTTGGTGATATCCAAGATCATATTATTACGATGGTATCATCACTAAACCATTACGAGAAATTATTGAGTAGATCACATTCTAATTACTTGGCTCAAATTAATATTGATATGACAAAAGTCAATAATGACATGAATGATGTATTAGGTAAAATCACAATCTTAGGTACCGTTGTTTTGCCTATGAATGTTATAACGGGGTTATGGGGCATGAATGTTTTAGTACCAGGTCAAGAAAATGAATCATTAGTATGGTTTATTTCAATTTTCTCATTCATGATAGGACTAGCATACTGTGCTTTTGTTTATACAAGGAGAAGGTTCGGGTTTTAAGTAACCTAAGACTAATTACCCATTCCTAACACAAAATAAGAGAAATAATTTTTTTTACATATTTATATATAAAAGCAGATTAATCATCTCCATAAAACCGTGCATCCAAATAGATATCCACATCCTAGATATAATCAAATACAGTGCATGTATTTATAATTTATTATTCACATGAAATTCGTAATAATAATGAACTCAAGCATTTAAAGATCTTTACATATTTACTATTTGTATATAACGTTACTTGATCTAAAGTAAAATCGAAATACATAAATCCTGATATCTCATCTATCAATGTTAAATGAAATGGTATCATTATATTAACATCTTTCTTAATTATTCATTATTTTAAAATTACAGTCATTTTGTTCGTATAAGTATAATTATAGCATAATTTGTCAGCAAAATTTTCAAAGGGAGTGTTAAATTAAGAACGCCTTAAAGAGAAAAACTAAAGTATTTAAAGAGCCAAGCAATTTTTAGATGATGATGATTTAAAGAATGGTAGTTATTTATAGAAGGGGAGGTGATTTTAATATAGAGATTTTCAGATCAATCAAACAAGTATTAGAATTATATTTATAATTAGAATTGAGGATGACTGTTGGCAAAGACGAAGTTTTCGAAGCCACATATGCTGTAGCAATGCACTGTCAAGGTTGCGCTAATGATATCAAAAGTACATTGGATAAATTACCAGAGGATAAGGAAATAAATTTTGATATTGAGAATCAAATTATGAGCATCAAGAGTAATATTCCTCCATCTACAATTATTGAGACATTACAGAAAGAGTGTAAAAAAGATGCAATTATTCGTGGTGCTGGTGGTAGTAATTCTTCAGCAGTTTGTATATTAGAGACCGCTGAAGGTGATAGTGATAATGTAAACACGAATAATACCAGAGTAAGAGGTCTAGTTCGTATGGTTGAAGTAAACGATGGGAAAAAGACATTGTTTGACGTAACCTTGAATGGTGTCAGATATCCTGGTCAATATACCATGACTGTGAATGAAAATGGTGATATTTCTAAAGGTTTTAAGACTGTTGGTGGAATGATGCACAAATTTAACCAGATGTTGACTTGTAATGATGCAAGTGATATATCCAAAGTTGACAAGCTGTACAGTGGTAAAAGCTTTTTCAGCGAAGATGATATACCGATTTGGAAATTAATTGGCCGTAGTATTACAATGAAGAGCAATACCAATCCAGAATATGGTGTATTAGGTGTAATAGCACGTAGTGCAGGAGTATGGGAAAATGACAAACAAGTATGTGCATGTAGTGGTAAGACTGTTTGGCAAGAACGTCAAGATGCTCATGAACATAATATTCATTTCTAGGTGGTATAACATTTCCCAATCTTGTTGATTAGAAATTAGACCAATACTTTTGCTGTTGACAGGATAATTGGCAGTAAACCAGCAATATTGTACTGGATATAATTCGAATTGGTATAAATAAGATTAAATAAGATTAAATAGAGACAGACACTTGTTATATAGATGCTTAATTTCATAATGAAATTAGTGACTATGATTTACTATGCATTTATTAATTACTTTTCAGTTACCTAATAATATACACTACCATTAAATCCGACGGATATAAAGACACAACTGTCCGGGTAGTAAATATCATTTTCCACACTAAAACGAATCCTGTGTCCTAAAAGAGTAAAACAAGAAACGATTTGAATATTGATGTTTTAATTCAAGCACGAGAGGCATGGAGACAGCCTGTATGAAGTCTTACCACCACCATTCCAATTTAACAGCAGGCAATTATCGTAAATTAACATACCATGCCATACTATACCATGCGATACTATACCATAACATACCACACCATACTACACTAAACTACACTAAACTACGATATGCAATCAGACTAGTATACAAAGCCTTAAACAGTTTGACCGGCTGTGATGAACACTCAGAATCATATCATATGGAAAGGACAGACAGAGATATACTGTTGTATTTGACTGTTATGTTCAATTAGACCAACGTCAACCATAAGTCAACTGTCGTTAAAACCAATTCTAACAAGTGACTGAAGAGAATACCTAGAGCAATTCTCTAAGTGGCTCTCATCTGTTGAGGTTTCCCAAGTTGTCCGGGCTCAAGCAACTCACTCTCTCTCTTTCATTGCTTGCCTCCAGCATCAGTATGCATAATATAATATAATATAATATAAGAAAAATAGTCACAGTCGGCTCTTGAAATTATTTTTATCTTGAGAGAGAGAGAGGGCCTAACCACAACACGATTAATACCCATTTCCCTTACTTAACCTACTTGTTGTGACAAATAGTACGTACACACAGGCTCCCATCCCGAGCCCAATACATATACCGTCAATTCTAAATTTTATTACTCAACCACTCTCATCTAATGGATTCAGTACAACCAAGTTCAAGTCCAAGGGAAAGGTTATACGTGTTATCCATCTCTATATTGCCCTTATACCCCATTAACTAACAACTGGAAGGAACCAACTAGAAGAACAACTTTCTCTTGTCCAGCTGTATGGTTGAGATTAAATTGCATGGAACGAGATATCCATCCCCATCTATATCTGTTTCTTTAAGCAATAATTTTTCACTATTGATTAAGCTTTAATCAATAGTGAAGTGGGTGAGAGAGTGTGTGTATTGGAACAGCACTTGAGTGAAAAACATGGGTTTACAAGTTTCCTCTCTCTACAGAATGAAATATATGGACAACACAGTCCAAAAGAGGAACCTACTCTGAATTTTGAAATTTCTTGTAAGAGCAACTGTAACAGCAACCGCATCTGTCCTAGTACATCTCACGTTCGAAATCCATTAAATGTAAGCACCTTTTTCTCTGCTGTAAATTATTTACCCCAGTAAAATTAACTTTAACAGATGGACCAAGCAAGGTAGTGGGATTTCTTATTTTTGCAAAAAAAAAAAAAACAGTTTGTTGTAAAAACCACTCAAACCACCTTCCATTTCCATCGAATTTAACAACCCGCCACTTTGGAGCCTTGGGAAAAAAAAATTTTTTTATTTTAAATAGAACCTTCCTGGATTAAAAGCTTTCTGGTGCATTTCAATTAAAGGAATTTTGAAATTTCAAAAAACCCTAATTGGAAAACCCTTTGGCCACACACGGCCAAAAAAAAAATTACAAATTCCCTGGAACACACCCTCCCAATTGCTTGAAAGAAACATTCTTTGCATATGACACCCGATGGAAATATAGGTCTCT